GTGGAAGAGAAATACCTATCAGCCTTTGTCAATATCACGGTACCATACTTTTTTCATGTGCAGAATTTTGATGAGTGGTTTCGATGATTGCTATTCTACATTACTGTTGTTATTGTAGTTGTAAATATTTGTATTATCCTAACACCCACCAAATATTTTTAATTGGTAGTGATGGTACAAGTACGGAAAAATGCACCAGAAATCCAGTAACTTTGGAAAAGGAGTTAGATTAAAAAGCCAATAAGAAGGCAAATAAATGAAACATATGCAATGCTATTAATTTACGAGAGAGCACTCTAAAAAATATTAAAGACTATGTTAAGAAAATACAGAGCAGAATTAATGCAAAAATGTGCTATAAAGGAAGTAGATTTAATAGCTCCATAACTCATCCTCTTTAATGTATATTTGTTACTGGGAAAAAGTTATACTAAAATAATTCACTTTGAATGATGTTAAGTCTTCAGGTATGCATCATTTAGAGAAAATAAGTGACATAGGAAACTGTTCTAGGTAAATTCAGGTGAGAAAATCCTGGAGACATTTGGAAATATTATGTTGAAATTCAAGAAAGAGAAAGAAATTCGAGAGAGCTATGAAGATGGAAATTATCCGTGTAAGACTGATAGTTTAAATCACAAGAAAGGATAAACTTGCTAAGCAGAGAGTACAGATTTAAGAGAAGCTCAAAAACATAGTCTTCTGAAGCCACCAAATTCAGAGGATGGAAGGAGGAAGCAGAAAGAGAGGGCACTTACTGAGAACCTGGAATGTGCCAAGAAGGTTCCATGCGTATACTTGTAGCATCTCATTTAATCCTCCCGACACCGCCATGTCAGACTGTTGTACACATCTGGTTGTACAGAGGGCAACACAGAGTGAAAGGAGAAGCAGGTTGGCCTAGGTCTTGCAGGTCTGCCTGACGTCACTGCTTTCTTGAGAGGCACGAGATCAAGGCATGAGTTAGCCAGTCATGGAAAAATCAACCGTACGCATTTTAAGACAGAGAGGAGGGAAGTTGAGGTTACTCAAAATAAATGAACCAGTGCTCCCTGTGTCTTTAGATGGCCCCACCATCACCCAGCTGTAAAGCCATAAATCCGGGGGTCGCCATCTGGCATCTCTCTTTCTCCCCCTCACATGAAATCCATCAGCAGGTCCTGGAAGTTCTACCTCCAGATTATATCTTCTTTTTATCATGCTCACTGCCCACCACCTTAGAACAAGGCACACTTATCTTTTCCCTGGAAAGCTCTAGTCACTTTCCATCCTGTGGCTACTCTTGCTCAGCTACAACCCACTCTCCCTACAGCAACAACGTGAGTGCCATTGGCACACGATTCTCTAAACATTGATTAATCATTGTTCACTGTTGGGACCTTATTGTTGGGGATGTCCTGTCCATTTCAGAATGTTTACCATCCCCAGCCTCTGTCCACTAAATGCTAGTAGCATCTCAAGTAAATGCCTC